GCTTCTAGAAACCCCCAGTGCTCCCGATGCTCTGAGAAACCCACCACCATTTGAAAGGCTACTCTCCATGGACAGTCAGAGCCACTGCTTCCTCAGGTTTCAGCAGAAGAACGTGGATGCTGAGCCAGAGAGTTGCTGAGCACATGGGGATGGAGTCAGCTTAAACCATAGTCCAGCTTCTTGGAGTGTTGGCTCAGCGTGCAGATTGAGTAAGTATGGTGTAAGGTATAAACTACATAACAGCCATGGATTAGGTGACCCTGCTGAACTAGAGACAATGAAAACAGACTTGGAGGAGACTAGACACCAGGTCTGTCCTGACTCTGACAGGCATACTCTTGTGAGGAGGGATTCCAGTGAGTGACATCCAGATGTGACTTCATTCAGCTGTTACGAGTCACTGACCCTGACCTAGCCACTCTCACGCTCTGACCTGAATCCCAGAGAGTGTCCTAATTCTGGAACAGCGCTGAGAGCTCAGCCCTAAGTCTGACCTGTCAAAGGCAGATTCCTTGGCCTGTCTCTCAAGCCATCCCTGGGCAGGTTCAAACCCCAGCCTTTCAAGTAGTGACCAAGCGCTCAAGTGCTAGAGATGCCCAAGGGCTCTCCCTGTCCGGAGTCTGATTGGAAAAGAATACCCACATTCCCCTGAGCTTCCCCAGAACCGCGGGGGACCCTGGCACAGGCCTTTCCCTCCACAAGGGACAGAATGCTTTTCCCATGTGAGAATGGGTCCCCTGTTACAATACAAGTTTTTACATTCACAGCTGTCATGGGGAGACCCCAGAATCATAAAAATAGAGAGATTCCCTGTGAAAACTGCGAGATGGAGAAGACACTGAAGACACAGCAGGAAACCAACGTTCAACACATCCCTGCAGTTGCTCCTGGGTCTGAATCCTGAGCTCGGTCAGTGTGGAGCGCCCCCTGCTGCCGGCCGTATCTCTGCAGGGGAGGTTTGTGTCTGGGCTCACATTGACTTCCCCTCACTGTGTCTCTCGCACAGTAATACAGGGCCGTGTCCTCGACTTTCAGACTGTTCATTTGCAGATACAGCGTGTTCTTGGCGTTGTCTCTGGAGATGGTGAATTGGCCCTTCACGGAGTCTGCGTAGTATATGTAACTACTACTACTACCGATAGCTGCGACCCACTGCAGGCCCTTCCCTGGAGCCTGGCGGACCCAGTGCATTCAGTAACTACTGAAGGTGAATCCAGAGGCTTCACAGGAGAGTCTCAGAGACCCCCCAGGCTGACTCAGGCCTCCCCCGGACTCCACCAGCTGCACCTCACACTGGACACCTGCAAACACAGAGACATCCTGGTCAGAATATCGTCACACATGTCCACTGTTTCTCTCATTCATGCCCATTCACATGCACTTGCTCTCCATAAAATGACCTTTGAAAACAGCAACAAGGAAAACCCAGCTTAGCGCAGACTCCATGGAGCCTTGTCTGTGTTCAGTGCAGATCACTGAATGGGGACACCTGGAATCCTGAAGTTGGGGCTCCTCTCCCAGAGCTGCAGGGTTGAGGGTCCTGGTTTTCATCAGCAGAGGGAGGTTCCCTATTTGCATGTTCTTCTCCTATATAACCATAGGTGGGATTGCCAGACTCCTCAGAGGACCACACCCCAGAGCAGACAGGAATGGTCTGGGGGTGGGTGTTTGGTAACAAAGATAGTATTTGGTAAAGTTATGATTTCTTATTACGGATTGTGCTGTGCTAAACTCTTACTGCCTATGAGCTTATTTCCTTTTTACCTATGTCAATATTTCCCATAATTTCCTGATGTAAAACTACAAACAGAACATGGAGGTATAGTGTCAGGTGCACCTGGACACATATCTGGTAAGAGTTATCTCTGCATATTGGTATCTCCCCTCACAAATGGACCCAGACACACTCCTGAACCACTTTTGCTGAGCTGGACATACCTCATGAGGTTTTGAGAACCCCGATCTGTAATGAGAACAGGGCATGAATGTGTTTGTCTAGTGTTTGTCTGAAGAATGTACAGAGCACCAGGGTCTACACAGGGAGATTCTGAGGGCCATTCAAAATGAAGAAAGAATGGGGTTATTCCCAAGGACGTCTGAAATGCAGTGTGGTAGTTAAGTTGTTTATCAACTTGGTTGGGCCTGGCTTTGGTTGCCTGGGCTGCTGGGTGTAATTATTCCCCATGATGAGACTGGTAATCAGCTCCATGGTGGAATCTACTGGAGCGGCTGTGTAGCTGCCTTAGGGATATGGTCTCTTTCCAGGAAATAAGCAGCAATTTTGTGAAAAGTCCCTGCAATTTTTGGCACGCTTCGACCCTGCATGAAACTGAGTCTTCATTCAGCAGCCTGCCATGTTTCCTAGTGATCTTGGGACTGTCTTTGGATTTGAACTAGTGGCCTGCTACATTGTTTGGTAATCTTCACACTGTTCCATTTTATTTGTTGACCTTGGGTTTGTCAGCTACAGCAGCCGACAGCTACCTGAATGAAGAGATGCCTCCAGCACTAATGGGCCTGGAGGAAGAGACGGGGATGAAACCCAAGACAGAGAGCAATTCACCCAGTCCCTAGAGCCTGGCACTTTGAACTCAGAAAGCCAGCCTCCAAAAGTGTAAGAGAATAAATACACCCACTCATTTGTGGTATTTTCTATTAAAACAGCACTAGAGGGTGAAAACACATGGCAATGAAAGATTCATTGCATTTCAAAGCCAGGGGATAATCCTCTGTGACTTGTAGGTGACATAGGAAGAACCTAATAATATCCATGCAGAAAAAAATAAAAAATATTAAAACATTACAAGCACACACACACACACTCACTTTGACACTTAGCAACCCTGCCTTGTGTATCTGAGGTGGTATCTCTATGGAAGTAGATTGCCCGAACTTCCTTCTGAGAAGTAGTTGGTGGGTTTGATCCACCAGCCTTCTGGTTAGCAGTCAAATATCTTAGGCACTACCCCACCAGAGCACTCTTATTTATACTCTTTTCTTTTCATATGTACATGAGTATCTACTCTCTTATTCAAGATATTTGGCATTCAAGAAAAAACATGGAGTATACTAATGACAAACACAGTCTCAATGAGCAACTGATCAGATGATGTTCATATGTGACACGTTTTGGATATCAAGTTAAATTCAGGAATTAAAATACCTGTGACTGATATGTTCAAAGGTGTTTCTGGAATGATTGGAAAAAAACTTATTGACCAATTATGGTATGTGTACTTGTCTGATAATCAGCTGAATAGCCACCTAGATAACTGAACAAAAGCCTTCCTCTTGGTCTCAGTCAGTTTGGAGCTAACTTAGGGGAGTGGAGATACAGGCATAGCCTGAGGTACAGTAATACAAACAGAGGAGCCCATGGCTGCCTGGAGAAGAACAGGGGGATTGAAAGGACAGGCCAAAATTCCATACAGAAGTTTCTTTGGGAAATTGGGACCTTCAAAGACACAAACACACACACACACACACACACACACAAGAAACTCAATTGGATTCTGACTCATAGCAATACCCATTGGGAAATTGGGACCTTCAAAGACACAAACACACACACACACACACACACAAGAAAATCAATTGGATTCTGACTCATAGCAATACCCATTGGGTTTCCAAGGCTGTAAATCTTTATGGAAGTAGACTCCCTCATCTTTATCCTTCAGAGTGACTAGTGGGTTCAAATCAAGATCTTTGTGGTTAGCAGGCAAATGCCTTGACAAGTACATCACCAGATCTTGCTACGTGTACCCAGCTGTACATAATTTGGACAGCTACACACAAGCCCAGTGAAAGACACAAAACTGGACAGAAATGTAAAGAGAAAATGACTGTAGAAAACAGACCAGAGCATCAAAAACTTTGGGACTATATCAAATAGTGCAGTGCTGGTTAAGGGGTATCACAAATGAGAAAAAAAGAAAGGAGAGGGAGGGAAACTATATGGAGAAATGTTAATAGCCTATAATAATTTTCCAAAATTAGTGAGACACCCAAACTCTGCTTCAAGAACTCCAGAGAACAGCAAGGATAAACACACACATCCACCCACACATGGAAAGAGAGGGAAAGACAGACATCCTATTGAACCATCTGAGAGCAAAGAGAAAATCTTAAAGTCAGCCAAAGAGGATGAAGACTGTGTTTCTCAGAGAGTGGTAGGAAAAATTATCCTTGTCTCGTCATCCAAAGTATGGAAGCACAAAGGCAATGAAATGAGTCCCTAAAGGGCTGGAAGGAAAAAAAAAAAAAAAAAAAAAAAAGCCCAGAGATTTGTAGCCAGTGAAAACGTATTTTAAGAATGGCAGGTCCCATTTAACCAAACTGAGGAAACGTATGGTCGGTTTGCTCATCTTGAAGAGTATGGAAGAAGTGCTCCAAGAATAAGGGATAAAGTGAAGACGCTTCCCACTCTCATTAATTTCAATTGCTCTGGAAGAGCACTAACCTCATTGTAACAATAATAACGAACCTCTATATTTACAGCACATGCAAAAGTGAATGGAAGAAAACAAAGGGACAGGAGATGGGATGGGAGAAATGGAAAACAGTGTTGAAATGACCTTACCCTTCATTCAAAGAGGTACATCAGAGGGCAAGTCAGATTATTTGTAAAGGCATGTTGGAAACCTTGGAGCTCTGGTAGCACAGTGCATAAGGCATATGACAGCTAACCAGAAGGTTGGTGGTTTAAACCCACCAGCAACTCTGTGGAAGAGAGACTGGGAAGCATACTTCTGTAAAGATTTACCACCTTGGAAACCCAATGGGGGTCACTAGGAGGCAGAATTTACTTGACATCAGTTTTCCTTTCCTTTTCTTCTTCTGTTTTTTAACCTAACCACAACCATTAGAAACAATATAAAAGAGGAAATAAAAATAAATTAATAGCAGAGATATTGCTCTGGAAGCATAGTGCCTAAGGCACTTGACTGCTAACCAGAAAGCTGGTGTTTCAAATTCACCAGCCACTCCTCAGAAGGAAGATGGGGCAATCTACTTCCGTAGTGATACTGCCCAAGGAGGGGTTACTATGAGTTGGGTCTGACTTGACGGCACATAACAAAAACGACAACAAGAGCAGTGATATTAATGATATCTTAAAAATGCTAATTTAACACAAGTTTTAACAGATAAAATAAGTGAAACCGGGGTATCTTCATACCTTAGTGTTGCTTTAACAGAAACATCACAAGTAGATGGATTAAGCAAAAAGAAATGCATTCGCTTACACTTTAGGAGGCCAGATGTTCAAGTGCAGAGTGGTGGCTTGTGGGAAGACTTTCTCAGTGTGTCTTGTTCCTAGAAGCATCTCAGAGCAGAGATCCTATTATCAGAGGA